AGGGCTTAAAATTCAGGATTTCATAGTTATGAAACAATTAATTTCCAGAAAGTTTAATGGTCCATCTCTGCCAAATGCATGATTTTTTTTAAATCAACATTTAAAGCTAAAAATGAGGTCATGTAGTAACATTGTTCCTCTATCTTTTGAGTTCAAAGTTCAAGAGTATCAAGTCCAGCCCTCCAAAGTCTGTACTCTGAACATTTGAACTATTCATGATATATACTGACACATTTTATTTGTTCTCTGATGTCCATGCCCTGGAGGTCTAAATACCCCAGGGTGGTACTTCCAAGGGTTTCAGTTCTTACTTCAAGAATCTCATCTAGGCTGGGGACACAAAGGACTGGGATTTAATTCAAAGGATTTAGACCTTTGGAAAGTGACAAGACAGAAGGCAAGAAGGGAGGGAACTTCCGAAACGCTACTGCTCTCTCAATGTCTCTAGATTCCATACTTACAGTCTTGATAGAAGTTTGGCTTCCTGGATAAACTGCTGAGCGTAGGAAAGCTGGGTGTCAATAGTTTATGTTGGGTACACTGAAGACAATGGAATGCTGAACCGGGAAAATTTAAAAACTAAATTAAGAAAGGGAGTAACCATAAAGGATAATCTCACTTGTTTTGCCTCCTTGATAGTTTTGTTTTGCTTCTCTCTCTCTCTCTCTCTCTCTCTCTCTCTCTCTCTCTCTCTCTCTCTCTCTCTCTCTCTGCGTGTGTGTGTGTGCTTGTTTTTACCATTTCCATTCAGACTAATGCATAACCCAAGAGCTGCTGTGCACAGTGGGCGCTATAAAGTTACTACAAGGTAGGGCTGGCCCTGCTCAGGAGAAGCACTCAGGACATTCACCAAATGTCTTTTGACCATGAATATCAATTCCCAAGACTAGGGCTGTCACTCACTGGTAGATCATTTTACCTAGCATGCGCAATGCAATAAATAAATGTATAAATAAATACATATATTGCAAAAACATTTAATAGAGGGAAGAAAACTTCTAAGTAAGAGATAAAATTCTAAAACTGCAACTGTCCTAGGAAATGTGTTTTAAAGGCACACATTCACCTATAGGTACAGAGCATAGACTCAGATGTTGGAAGAGAAAATGACAGGCTCAGATGTCCCTACTGAACATGGCTCTATTAGAACAATCACAAAGGGTTCATGTTTAGCCTCCTCCATCTTGGCCTAAGGCTGGCCCTGTTAAAATGTGTCCAATACAGTAGGGGATCAAATGTTATTTCTCAGAAATATGGTCTGCCCAGCCAAGAATTCTAGGAGTTCAGAACTCCTATTGTCTTTCAGATGCCAGCTCATGACTTCTGGGTGCCTATCCTTGGTGGGGAATGGCTCCTAGTTTGTGTAACAAAAGACCTAGGCCCTGGGCAAGCCTACAACCACCCAAAGGCTAGTGAGTATGTGCAGCCTAGGATTGTCTCTAGGGCTTAAGGGAATATTTGATATCTGTTCTATACGTGATAACATATGTCTTCTGCCATAACCTACGGTTTTGGAAAACTATTTAAGAGGATGCTTAAATATACCATGGTCTCCAGTATTGACTGAGAGCCCTCCTGAGATGAGGAGATATCTCTGTCTTGTCGTTAACACCATTGGATAGTTAGGATTCCCCTCGTCCACACTCCCTCACTCAGGGTTGGACCTGGGGCTGTTCAGCTGGTTCCCATCACAGCCCCAAAGACATCAGTCCAGAATAGATGACCCTTACAGCATAGGACTGATATAGGCCGGACCCTAGCAATTACTCAATATACCACACTTCTCTATGACTGCCTCTGCAGAAATAGAGGTGAGTTCCCCATGGTCTGTATGGAACAGAGGCCCACTGGAAACAGTAAAGAAAGTCCAAGCATGTAACCAGCACAGCCCTTCTGCAAACAGACCTACCCCTGACTGATGCAACCAGAAATAAGGTGATAATGCTAAATTGACAAGAGACTGTACTGAACTGAGGTCATAATGAATAGGGGGGCGACATTAAACTTGGGTTACATTTTTCTTCATCTGTAAATTCTTTAATGTATTACTGAAAGACCTGTGGAAGCTCAGGGCCCCAGGATCTCGGCCCAGGACCGCAGTGACCCCAATCACTAGGCAGAGTAGAAAACTTGATGCAAACAGAAAGAGGCTTTATTGCAGTTGTTTAACGAGCTAACCCCATGTTAGCTCCGGCCTTTCATCCATCCACCATGGGGGATGGCTAAGAAAGACGCTGCAAAGCCACAGCATAGAGATCTTATAGGGCAGCATAAGGTGAGGGTCTAGGGGTACACACAGGCTCAGGAGTGGTGTGCCTCCAGGCTGCCCTGTGTTGATTGGTCAACTGGTTGTTATGGCCCATAGGCCCTCCCAGGGTGATTGCTTTGCTTTGCAAGTCATTGTTGTGCACTTGTCTGTAAAGCACACCCAGAACCATAAAGCATAGCACCACCTGCTAACTTCTGATTGGTTCCTTGCCACGAGGCAGGCATCTCACCTCCTAGTGACCAGGTCAAGGTCAGGCAAACATGTGTTAGACTGCCATGGCTGCCGAAATGGGCAGGCATCTGACCTCCTAGTGACCAAGGCAAGATCAGGCAAGCACTGCTAGGCTGTAATAGCTTTCAAAATGGAGAGCTGGTCCCTTCATTACAACATCTGCCTTGATTCTGCTAGACGAAGACATGGGACTTTTACAACATGGTACCTGGCTCATATCAAGAAATCAGAGGCTCCTAAATAGACCTCAATCTCAATAGCACTTGGGCCAGAAATGCTGGACAGCATGTAGAAAAGTTTCCAGGTATATCTGTTTCCACAATTATCACTTCTTAGAGCAGTGGCTCTCAGAAGGATAATTTTGTTCCTCACTCAAGGGATACTTGGCATTGTTTAAAGGCATGTTTTATTGTCACCATTGAGAAGTCACTGATGGTATTTAGAAGGGACAAATCAGTATGTTGTTATAAGTCCTGTAATGTACAAGCTGTCAATCTGCTCATAAAAATGATCTAGTTTCTGATGCTGACAGTGTTCAAGTCTAAGACATGGCCACAAGTCTAGAGTCACTATAATATTCTAGACAGTACAGCATTTTCAGGGGGTAGCTGGAAGTTGGAGAGGCCACTCTGGAACACTCATCCAAACTGCCAGGGTTTTGACCCCATCTAATCCTCTCAATTCATGGCATTATCTATGAGAATATTCCTTGTTTATACATATGTGTAATACATGTTCATGCCACACATGCTCAGCTTCATATACTATTCCTGATATAGCAGCAAAGCCAGTTACAAGGGAGAAAGAATTTCAGCAATTGCCTTCAAAATACTAGTTATGGCTTTGCACAAGGCATATAACCCCAGTCTTTTGCAGTGAGGAGATATTATAAGCAATATAATTTATAAAACATTTAATTGGGAGCTTGATTACAATTTCAAACTATTAATCCATGACCACCATAGTGACAAACATGGCAGCAGGCAAGCAGTAGCTGAGAGCTTATATCTGACCCTTAAGATGGAGGCAGAAATAGAAACTGGGCCTGGTACAGATTTTTCAAAACCTCAAAGTCCACCTCCAGTGACACACCATCTCCATCAAGGCCACATCTCCTAAACAAGTCCACCAACTGTGAGCCAAACATCCAAATAGATGAGCCTATAAGAGCATTCTCTTGCAAACCACCAAACATCGGGCTCCCTTTCCAAAGCCTTATAATAACATATGGATAGATTCTGCCCATGATACCCATTCTAGTCATCTGCTTAGTGCAGACATTTTATCTTTTTTTTGAATTAAAGATGTTTCACCCCTAATGCCCTGCTGGATAGCTTATTGTCAAATTGACACATCAGAAAGGAAAGTGCCTCAATTTAAAAAATGTCTTCACAAGACTGGGCTGTAGGCAAGCCTATAGGACATATTCTTAATTAGTGATTGATGAGGGAGGGTTCAGCCCATTGTGGGTTATCCCACCCCTTGGTAGGTTGCACTGGGTTCTAGCTGAGGAAGCCACAAGGAGCAAGCCATTAAGCAGCACCCCTCCTGTGGCCTCTGCATCATCTCCTGTGGTCTCAACCCTCTTGAATTCTGTCCTGACTTTGTTTGATGATGAACTGTTATGTGGAAGGATAAGCCAAATAAATCCTTTCCTCCCTAACTTGCTTTTTGGTCATAGTGTCTCATCACAGCAATACTAATCCTAACTAAGATAGCCTGTCTCTTGACTGAGGATAAGACGTTAGTCCTTTGTATTCTATGTGATTCCATATGCACCAATCATGTATTTGTGACCTCCATATCATATCTCTATAATGATACTTCCTTCCCTGTCTGCTGCAATGTACTTTTTCTCTCTTCACTTCCTCACACTCTCAACTAGTATTATCTAAACCTTGACGATATAAATTTTCTACCAGTCATCATTGGCCATTAAGAACACAAAGTATAGAAAAAAGAAAAGTAGCTCATTGGCTCCTCTGGTTATTATTATAATCATCTAAACCAGTGGCTATCAACCTGTGGGTCTCAAGCCCCAAAGATCATTGGAAAAGACAGTATTTACATTATAAATCATAACATTTGTAAAATCACAGTTATGAAATAACAATGAAAATAATTTTATCATTGGGGCTCACCACAACACTGGGAACTGTATTAAAGGGTGATAGCCTAAGGAAGGTTGAGAACCACTACTCTAAGCTTAGGTGTTAACCATGTGCTAGGAAAAAGTCAGGGGCACATATGTACCCTGTCAACCTTACAAGGAACACATTACTCTCCCCATTTTACAGATGAGTAAGTTGTTGCTCAGAATCACTGGCTTTTAAATTTCAGACAATGGATTCAAACTTAGCCACTTTGAATCTCTCAGCAATACTAATTACTTCACTACAGTTTCCCTCATGGTGTTCCCCATCTAACAGAGGGTCAGACATGGACATTTGCATCTCAAATCAAGTCAGGCTGATGAGCTCTTCTTGATTCTTATCCACAGGCTTTGGGCAGATATCCCACTGAGAACTCTAAAGCACCTTTCAGAAAGCTTCCTTGAGGGCCCAGTAAGCACGTGACTTGGTAAGACACTGTCTTATGAATAGTAATGAAATCCAATCAGGAACAGAGGTCTGGGATTTTAATTGAGCTATCCTTTAAAGGACTGCTTTTCTCAGTGTCAAGGTCATGTTCTCCTGGCTAGTGAAAGTTATTTTATGTGCAGAGCAGAGATAATAGACACTAGAGACACATTGGGGACAAGTGGCATACAGCATGGAAGAAAGGAGGAAATATACGAAAAGCAATCATTGAAGTATACACCATAGACCTTCCCATTGATAATTGGTTTAAATTATTAAAGCACATAAGAGGTTATTAACTAGAGAGTATAAATTACTTTTTTTTTTTTTTTTTTTGCTGAGCATGACTTTTCAAAGTCTTAAACTTCTGTTTAAAAAAAAAAAAAAAAAAAAAAAAGCTTCAAACCTAAAGTCTTTAGGAAAAAAAAATATCTTTAAAGACTCATCACCGGAGTGGATGGATGAGGAGAGAGCAGATGCCTCATGAATTTGAGATCATGTTACCTGCCATGAGTGTATAAAACGTGAAATGGTATTTAAATAATGCTAATGGCGCTCACAGGGTAGCTGGCAGTGGCCTGGTCTGCCCAGCCAGGGTTGAAGGCCCCCTGGGGCAGAGCATACCAAAGGAGTGAGGCTGGCAGCCAAGAATAGGCTCTCCCAGCTCTCACTCTGATGATCCATCCAGGAGCACAGGCCTATGAGGACAAAGTGGACCTCATGGGAGACGAGCTGGCCTCACTATGCTCATTGCTGTGAAGAGAGAAAGCTAACAGTCTCATCAACCCCAGGAGACCTGAGGAAGAGGCTGCGTCCTGAGGAAAATGAGTGACATCCCCAGTCCTCCTTATGACTGATTGCTGATTTATACCCCTGCTCTGGGGCCCTTCCTGACTTTTCTGCAAATAGCCCTGATGAGCCTGCTCTTATCTAACGCAGTCCCAATCTTCCGGGTTTTGCATTAGCATTTTTAGGATGTACTGTTCCGGCAAGAGACCTTCTATCTAGTAAGGCCAATTATCTCCTTAGATTCCTACTTCTATCTTTATTCATTAACTCCTGATTCCTCTCTCAGAAATGAGCTCATTTGGGCTGCTAGCCTCTTCTCTGAATGACTTTCCTCCTTGTGGCCTAAATCCAGTTTTTTTTTTTTTTTGCTCATCCTCCCTCTAGGCATGCTCCCCTGCCCTGTGCTTCTACACCTTTAATTCATCTGCGGCATCCCCAACTGCAAAATTAAGATGGCAATGGAAACTGCCCTTCCCTACCAATCCCAGAAAAAGCCTTGATTTTCCTGGCCTCCAATGTTGCCAGGAATGCAGCAATTCTTTTAAAGATGGTTAAGTTGTATCAGTCATTACATGGACTAAATGCTATGAAATACAAGTGCACACACGTACACATGCATGAACATTGTAATGGTTATCTACGAAGTTTTTAAATATCTGTTTTGAAGATATCGTTATTAAATTTTCTCCCCACCTCCCCATCTCTGGTCATACTGGAGCTTTAACCTAAGGCCTTATACATACTAGAAGACCACTCAACCACTAAGTCATAGCTCAGTCCTCTTTTAACCATATTTAGTTGTCTGTTCCTTTGTTGATTTATTTTGTAGCTACCCCTTCTTCAAAATATGAACACAGTCCTGTGTGAGGTCAGCTGCCTTGCTCAGGATCTGAGTCAAGATAACAGCCAATAAGAATCCCCTCTTTTTCAAATCAGAATTTTTATCAAGCTGAAAATCAGAAAGTCTTTTCTACTGCAGAGTTAGCATTCCTCCCCAGAGAGGAGACTGGCTTGCAGAAATACATAAGAAAACTGGTCAGATAGAAAGGACATCCGGAATGAAACAAAGACTAAGAATAGTAATGGGCATCCGAGACTCCGGTTCCAGTGGCTCTCCTTGCCTTTCTATAATTAGAGTATTAGTCTCTTGTTCGATTATGTGACCTTATTAGAGTCTTTCCAATAAATTCACTACTTTATTCAAACTCTGTTTTCTTCATTTAGTGCTGCTTGTATCCAAAGGACTCCTGAATCACAGAGAAATAGATGCTTGAAAGAATATACTCCTAAATATTAATGACACTTATCTATGGGATTTTTTTTCTTTTTTTACCTGTATTTACCACTGCTTTAAAATGAATCCGGACTATTTACATAATTTCATGAAAGTGTGCTCTTTTTGTCATGATGATTTGTCTACTTATTTGATTAATATGGAACTACTGATCAAAGGAATAATGAATATAATTGGAAAGAAATTAAGTAGATATTAGGCTTTCGACTAGAACTAGAATAGGATCACATATTGGTGTGTTTTGCAAATATTTATTGAGTCCCAAGCACTACCTGGTTCTGGTTATGTGACTGAGCAATGTGGACATTCTTTCTGCTGAGCTTGTAAGCTAAAAGTGTTATCATTATACCACCAACCACCCCAGTAAATGTAATGTTGCTACTATAGTGAGTGCTGTGAAGAGAAGAAATTTGGAAACAAAGAGTTATGACCTAGGTGGAAAAGTCAGGAATACCAAGTAAAGAAAGTAGTAAGATCTAGATATAATCAAGAGGTCATGGAGGGAGCCAAAAAAAGAAAATTCCTGGGAGTGGAAACTGTGTATCAAAGACTCATGTCAGTAGGGAATGTGAGAAACCTGGGACAATAAATGAAATCTGGTGTTACCGAAGTGAATGGAGCAAAGGAAGGACAGTAGGAGTGGAGCTGAAGAAGCTGGAATGAAGTCAGAGTTTGAGATGTTTCCTCAGGCCATGGAGGGGGCGTTAGCAGATATTCGTACTAAACTGATATTTCTGTGTTTAAGAAGAGATGGGTGATGGGTTGTGATAGTTAATCTTGCTTGTCAACCTGATGGAATTTGGACTCACCATGAAAACAAATCTCTAGGCATGTCTGTTAGGGATTATCTAAAGTAGGCTAATTGAGGCAAGAAATTCAAATGTAGATGGTACCATTCATCAATGGATGAATGTGACTAGTCACTTCAGGATCCTACTACTGGACCTTGCCCCACCATATTGGACTGCAGCACTTAGAACTGTAAGCCAGAATGAACTTTCCATCCTTAATTGGTTTTTTTAGGGATTTTTCTAATAGCAATGAGACAAGTAACAAATATAGCAATGAGGCATGGTTAGCATTATATCCAATAAACATCACTCTGAATGTGGTAGAACAGATTTGAGAAGACCTATTAAAGGCATGGCTTAATTAATGACAGAAATCCTTGGATTGCTCTTCAGCCAGGTGAGAAATGATAGACATGCCCTAGAACAGTTGTGATGAGCACTGAAGAAAGTCAAAGATACTTAAAGCAGCTAGTCATTTGTCATCTTTCTGAAAATTTCCTTTTTACCAGAGATGAAAATTCCTTTGTCATGTGCAGAGGAATTTGAATCCATAAAAGGATGACGACATGGGCACACATAATTGAGTTACATTTTGTTGAGTCTTATTTCTATCAGAAGTAATTAAAGAGAAGTTAACAACAGATTTGGAATTCAAGTTATGTACTAAAAAAGGTTCAGGTCCTGTGAAAAGGAAAAAAAAAACTTACACAATTAAGTAGTAAATAGGCATTCTCAAACTGGGCAAGTTATTAAGTTTACTTAATGGGAGTTAAATTAAGGGATTAACAATGTTTATACAAAGCCAGGAGATAGGGAAGAACCATAGAGCTGACAACTTTACTAGAACCTAGAGAGCATGCTATGTAGAGAAATATTGACCACTTTCCTTGCTTCATTTTCCTTTTTCTCATCTGATTAAGATTTATGAGATACATTGCTTCAACAAACTACAGCTAGTAGAAATGGGTACTTTTTGTTGTAATGCATACACTTGAGACCTCTGGAGAAAAAGGCAAGAAATGATGTATCTACAAAAGAAATCCAAAGACAGTTCAGCTCATGCACATTTGAGCAGTATAAGAATATATCTAGCTAACTGATAGTCACTAAATATATGCTCTGTTTATGAAATGGCTCAAGAATCTCAGTGGAGGGATTAGACATACAGCTCAAGATTAAGAGTTCTTGCTACTCTTTGAAAGGATCAGAGTTCAGTTCCCAGCACCCATTTCAGATAACACATCAACATCTGTAACTTCAAGGCCCTCTTCTGGTTTCTCTGGCTACCTGCACACACATGCTTATATGCACACAGAAAGACACACAAGCATGTATATATGAACTTTTAAAAAATACATCATGCAGGAAAGAGTCTTAGTGGATATTAAAGGAGATTCACTTCTCTAGCAGAACTGGAGGAACTCAGAGGTAAGGGTCTGGAAGACTATATGGGTTTTGGAAGTATTAAATAAAGATGCAAATGAAGAAAAACACAGGACAAGGAAAGAACATGATGTGTCACTCAGAAGGATGTGAAAAATTAGCACAAACATAGGCTTCTTGCTACTCTAGCATCCAAAGTTGAGAAACTCTATGGCCTAGAATAACCATTAATTAAAAAGATTTATTGGAAAAAAAGGGGCAGTGGCTGAGAGTGCAGCTCAATGGTAGAGTGCTTTCCTAGTAGAGGAGGCTCTGGATTTGGTTTTCAACACTGTAGAAAAGTAGTTTTGGATCTATGGGTGTGTGTGTGGGGGGTCACATAACAGATATCCTGCATATCAGATATTCAAATTAAGATCCATAACAGTAGCACAATTACAGTGATGAAATAGAAACAAAATAAATAATGCTATGGTTGGGGATTACTTAACATTAGGAACTGTATTAAAGGGTCACAGCATTAGGAAGGTTGAGGACCACCGCTGTAATAAGTGTGTGGTAGGATGGGAGTTTGATTAGAGTCATGCAGGGTAAAAATATTTTGACATTTGAAGAGCAAAGGGACAAGCACAGCTTTGCCAGGTAGAAAATGAGTATCTGCAAAATGGGGGAAAAAACGAGAAAAGTAAATTATGTTTGAGAAATATGATTTCTGACTTATTACAAAGACCATGTAAGCAAGCAAAAATCAATTGTGCTGGAAATGTTATTTTATTCATTGATTTGTTTTTCAAATTGAGCACTAGGTATTGGGCACCACTCTGAGCACTGAGTATATCACAGTGTGGAGGATAGGTAAGGACCCTGGGGTTATAGAGATGATATTGCAGTCAGGCAAGAAGAATATAAATAAATATATATATATATATATATGTTAGGCAGACATCAAATGGTGAATCATACAAAGAGGATTGCTACTGAGTGATGTATGAGAGAATAATAGGATAACTTGTAGGATTTTCCAAGAAAATCTCAACAAGGACAGCTCTGAGCTCTGATGAGACGTAAGTAGTGATAATATTCTTGCTCCATATTATGAAGAGAATTCGATATTCAGACAAAGCTAAGAATGGAATCTATCACCTGAAATGGGTGTTTTTCTCAAGTAGTGTGTTTGAGAAAATAAATGAAGATCAAGGTAATTGTGATGAAATATCACACAAGACACAGGCTCATTTGTGCTAGCTAAAGAAAGCCTTTTACACTGGCAGGATTCTGTGATAGCTTACGATTGTGCATAGTAGAGAGATTTACACCAGGGAAATAGGCACACACTATGATGTCTTAGTTTTTTTTTTTTTAATTGCTGTGAAGAGACACCATGACCATGACAACTCTTATTAAATTAAAAAGAATTCAAGTGGCTTGCTTACAGTTTCGGAAGTTCAGTCCATTATCTTAAGGACAGGGAACATGGTATGCAGGCAGATGTGGTGCTGAAGAAGTAGCTTAGAGTCCTACACTTTCAGGCAACAGGAAGTTGACTGAAAGTTACACTGAGGGAAGCTTGAGCAAAAGAGATCTCAAAGCCTGTCCTCACAATGACACATTTCCTCCAACAAGACCACATCTCCTAATAACACCTCTCCCTTTGGGGGACATCTTTTTTCAAACCACCACAGAAGGAATTAGGGTATAATGAAGATGATGTGGTTACTTGGTTCTTTTGGTTCAGTGTTTGAGTCTTTAGTCTTGCTATGTAGCCCAGGCTGGCCTTAAAGGAATAGCAATACTCATGTCTCTGATTCTCAAGTGCTGGAATTACAAGTGCATACCATTGCATATGGCCTTGGTTGACATTTAAAAAATGACAACTCTATCTACAGGTGGGTGTTAGGGGAACAGGAAACTTGGCTGGGCAGCTGGTGCATTAGTCTAAAAGTAGTGGCTTTGGCTTTGACTGGTCTGAAGAAACTATTGGGTTGGGCATGACAAGAGGTAGAATGAGAGGATACATGAGGCTCTAGATTTATTCCTCGGCAATGAATAAAGAGAATACAATGCACAATTTAAGATCTGAATTTAGAGGTAGTCTACAATACTTTGACATAGGAACTGAGGGAAAGAAACAAACCAGGAAACATTCTGAGTTGAGGAAATAGGTATATGGTGGCAAAGTCATAAACTCCCAGAAATGGGAGAGCAAAATTAAGTGGAAAATTAACCAAATTGTGCCTCTTGTGTTGAGGTTGAGATACAGATGATATCCAAGTGGAAACATAAAGAGAACATGATACCCATAAATAAATTATTAGGAAGTGATAAAAACTGAAGATGCCACCTATGGGCAATTTGCATAGAGAGATTTTTTAAACCCAGGGAAAAAGTGACATCATGCAAGGAGAATGCAAAGAAAGGAGAAAAATGGATATGAAATAAGAATAGGGTTTATGACCAACCCCTGAAAGGCTGAGAAGTAACACTGACTTGGAGGAAAGCCTAGTGAGTTAGATTCCTGGATGCCAAGGCATGTGAAGACTGGAGACAGCAGCTCCAAGATGACAGAACTGAGTTCTGTTGAATGTCACCGAGGACTCAAAGATAGAAGTCACATGGACTAGCAACAAATGAATCATCAGAATTCCTTAGGAGAGAAGTTTAGGAAGTACTGAGGACCAGATAAAGACCCATTGGAAGACGTTCAAGAAAACATGTTCAAAGAAGCAGAAAAGACTAGAAAAGGGACAGAAAGGAGTGACAATGGTTGCAGAGGTGATGGTATATGTGTGTGCATGTTCATGCATGTGCAGGTGCCCATGTGTATGTGCAGGTGCATGTTTGTGCCCGTGCAGTGGAGGTTAGGGAACAACTTAGGTGTCATTCTTTATATACCTTCCACCTTTATTATAAACAGGGTCTGCCAAATACCTGGAGTCTGGCCAAGTAGGCAAAGCAGGTTGGTAAGCTCCAGGGACCTTCCTATCTTTGCCTCCCATCTCCCCATTGCTAGTATTACCTATTTGTTCTACCCTACTATTTTGTTTTGTTCTGTTTCTTTTCTTCTTCTTCTTTTTCATATAGGTTATGAGTATTGACGTCAGGTCCTCACACTTGAGAGACAAACATGGCACTGACTAAGCCATCTTCCAAATCCATGCTTTGAAGTCAGCAAAAAATTATGTGTGTTTAGCACACCAATACCAGCAATGTTATTGAAAGAGGAACATCAGAGAAAGCCAAGAAGAGAACATAAAGCCTTCGGAGAAACAGTAGGAACAGGATCCCCAGCACAAAAGGATGTCAATCAACAAGCACCTCTGAAGCCCATACCCCCAACCTAGGCACCTACCCTCCATGTGACTTTTAGTTCTCAGATTTCTACCATTACCTTTGGAATATTTTCCAACATTTATTTCCTCTATAGCACAACCTTCCTAATGCTGTAACATTTTAATGCAGTTCATCATGTTGTGTTGACCCTCCCCCAACCAACAACCATAAAATCATTCTTTTGCTACTTTGCAATTGTAATGTTGCTACTGTTATGACTCTCAATGTAAATATCTGATATTCAGGATATATGATATGAAACCCTTGTGAAAGGGTTGTTATATCTCCCAGAGGGGTCTCAAACCACAAGTTGAGAACCACTAATCTAGTGAGGGAGAGTCTGTCCCAATTTTATTCTTGTTCCAAGTCCCAGGTGCCATCCCAATTTCAGACATACAGAAAGACAACAAATATATGCTGAACATGTGTTGAATGAAACTCCAAATGCTGTTAACTTAAGTCACAGTAAGACCATTAGCACTTATTTGTACATTTGATTTAATCATAGACAGTGTTGAGGAGCTAGACATAACTGGCAAAATATAGACAACTTCAATGACACAATTTTTTTTCTTATTTTAAATTTGACTTAGATTGACAGAGAATAAGGTTGGGGCCAGATGGATGTGGGAGTTGGGGGAAGAGATAGCTCTCTCTCTCTCTCTCTGTAAGTCACCAATCAAAAAAGAATGATTGCCATCTTACATATAATCCTGTTTAATTCTTGACAGGAACTAATTGTAGTGTAACGCTAACTTATACACCCAGAGTATTTAGTCCAAACTTTTCAGTATGAATTTTAGCATATTTTTTCCTATTATATTCTACCCTCGCCATTGTCTGTGTCCTTGAGCAAATGAAACTGAAACATCATGTCTCCTAGTGATAGCCTTACTCCATCCCTCACATACCATGCTAGTTTCAGCACGTCTTAGATGAAATGTACTTTCTCTTCCTCTTTTGTTAGACAACACTTCTATGTTTTGATTTCTAATTCAAGTTGCAACTACTCCAAGAAACCTTCCCAATGGGGAAAATATTACTTGAATATGTGTATGTGTGTGTTGTGGAATATTCCTTTACACTCCATGAAGATGTGTCACTGTGATTGTTTAATAAAAAGCTAAATGGCCAATAGCTAGGCAGGAGGTAGGTGGGACTTTTGGACACAGAAGACACGGAGAAGAAGAAAGAAGAGTCGCCAGCCAGATGGAGCGGAAGCAAGATGGGCAATACAGAGTAAAGGTAACCAAGCCATATAAAAAAATACAAATTAAAAGATAATTGTTAATTTAAGTTAAAGAAGTAGTTAGGAACAAGCCTAAGTTAAGGCCAAACATTCATAGTTATTAATAAGTCTCCATGTAATTTCTTGCTGGCAGCCCAAAGAAAAATCCACCTACATTTATGCATGCATGTATGTATATATGTATGTGCATATGTATGCATGCTTGCATGCATGTATATGTGTGTGTACATATATATGTATGTATACAGAGACAGAGAGACAGAGAGTCAGTTATTATTCAGCAGTCATAAAGCAACACCTCATTGACCAAGTCTAGAGAGAGGGAAGAATGTAGAGAAATGGGAAAGGATAAGGAGGAAGGAGAGGCAGACATCTTTGGGCCAATAGACAAGAGCTTGGCTCTAGCACAGAACATTTCTTCCCCCCTCAGCAGTACCAAAAGCAAGACAAAAGACTTCCTGTAACACAATTCCATTCAGATTGTTATAGCAAGAAACCCCAGAGTTTGTAAGCTACAAATACCACCCATGTGTTTCTTGCAGCTCTACAGGCTACAAAGTCAAAGTCAACATGCGCATAGATTCAAAAAGCTGCTCTCTGCCTTACAGACAGCTTTCTCTAGCTCTATTCTTTGGCAAGGAGCTAATGGACTCCTTTGAGACCTTATTGATAATGGTTTCTACCCCATTCATAAAGGGTACTTAAGGCTTGATATTTTCCCAGAGGAGATACCCCTTCAAGCCACTGCACTGGGGACTAAGTTGCCACACATAACTATTGAAACATATATCATTCAGAAAATAAGAAAGACAAAGTGGTCTTGGGAAGCTCAGTTGTTAATATAGATAGGCCATATAAGTAGCATACCAACCACATATTCTAGGTAATAGGTTATTAGTGATCCTTTTCATTTCCTTGAAAATGATATATACAGGTTTTCTAAATGTTACTTTTCCAGACAGATTTTTGAAACCACCATGACTACTGTGTCCTTCCTAAAAAAAAAAAAAAAAAAAAAAAAAAAAAAAAAAAAAAAAAAAGAAACACCACCATCTGCAAGTGGGAACACAGAGTAATGGAGGTTCAGAGGGGGAACTCAAACTTTCTGAAACATGCCCTCAGATGGGTGGACTTGAGGGAGTCACCCTTTCTTCTCAGACCTTCTGATTTCTAAAACTAACCATTTTAATCACTGGTCTCTGAGGACCTTCCAGCTCCGCCAGGCCATGAGACAAAGGTTGTGAATGAGAGCCGCGCTTTTCCACTGTCCTTTGATCAACACGGCAGGCCACACTCTTTCCTGACACCCTTGCTTCCCGGAACATAATTGAAATAATGTGGGTGACATATCTGCTTTCATTCCCCCAAGCAGGAGTGGAAGTCATCAGCTCTCATCATTTAACCTTTCAACAAATAGCTCTGTTTGTTTCAGCCGGCGGCAGAATAAATAATTATAATAAAATGTCTTAATATAAAGCTGAACAGAGAATAGTCAAGCTACTAAATTAGAAAATATCCATGTGCCCATATGGTACCTAGAAATCATGTTTCCATTAGTGGAGGAGCTTTTAGTTAGTAAAAATGGAAATCAATTTACCAAACATCACGTCCAGGCTGGAAGCAGAGTGGTTCTAACATCCAGGCGAGTAGCATCCTTCTTGTGGGGGGCCAGGGTAAGAAGCTAGCAGCATGCCCCAAATATTATGTGGAGGTAGACTTTGTTGTTAGCCACAGCAAATGCCCCCTGGCAATCCTCACTGGCGCCTGCCTTGGTAACAGAATTGGCTGCCTCTTCCTATTTGTCTCTTTGCTCCTATAGGCATAATGCAAGTATTTGTTATACTAAAGGGTTTGCTTAGCTCACTTGGTATTAGACTTAGGGATCAGACATGAAATAATTATTCAGCCTGGAGCAGCTTTTCTCTCACGCTTCCATTTCTAAGCCAGCAGCCAGTTTCTGCAGGGATCTGAATTACAGGAAGAAAAGCCACTCACTGCCCAACTGGAGTCTGTGCTGACTAAGAGAAGCCCATCAAACCCTTTATTTATGTTACCTTGAAAATAAAAGGAAATTCTCCATCTTTGGTCTGAATTCCTGGGTCCCATGAATGCAGCAAATGTCCCTTCTATTAGTATCTGTGAGACTCCATTTATAATGCACCCCTCTGGTATTGCTGACTTTCATGTATGACCTCAGAAGTTAACACACTCTGGCTAAATGGTGTGTATTTGACGAATGAATCATCATCTGTACTTCAAGAAGAACAGGAGTACTGCCTTTTGAGAGCTCAGGGTCAGCATCGTGTGCTTGGTGTTTCTCCTGTTTACTAACTGCTGCTTTTAAGACTTCCTTAGAAAAGGGAGCTAGAAAGATGGCATAGTGGCTAGCAGCCTAGACTTCCCTTGCAGAAAAACCTGAACTCAGGTCCCAGCAGCTATGTCACATGACCCACAACTGCCTGTACTCTAGGCCCAGGGAAATCTGATGCCTCTAGTGTGCGCGCGCACGTGCGCGCGCGCGCGCACACACACACACACACACACACACACACACACACACACACACACACACAACCCAACACACATACATATAATTAAAAAAAATAAAATAAATTACCTCAAGAAAAACTTGCTAAGAGAATGAAATTCAAAATTCTCTATCACTGAACTGATTTGCAGTTTCTGAGAATGCCACATGGCACATTTTCTATTTATGAAAATCTTTCATGTGTGTGTGTATGTCAGCCCAGAGTCACAGGATTGTGTTTTAGTCTACCCAGTCCAAATGACTTCTGCAGTGTATCTAGCATCTGAAGATGTAGACAGCCATAGATAATCACTTTCAAATGTTCCTCAAATATGTAATGAGCAGCCATGAGCTAGGCCCAAGGATAAATGGTGTTTGCCTTTCTATGGTCCACAGTATAGTGAGAATGTCAAATTTTCACATCCACAAGTGGTAGGAAATACAGCAAGGACTACTTTGGGAGGCGAAGATGAGGGGGAAATAAGCACATGACAAATCACTTGTTTTAAATGAGCAAGTCTGCTCTGTAGTGACTTTCCAGGCACGTCTGAAGCTGTCCTCAATATGGTATTGTCTGCTTTGCTCTTCCTGTAGAGTCAGAGTTTCATCACCGAATCAGTAGCATTTATGAAATGTACCACATCCTATACACCATGCAGCATGTCATAGGGTGAGTATAAAATGCCCGCCCAAAGGTATTTGCATTGAAGGCTAAGTCCCCCGAGGCCCACATCACAGAAAGCTCATAGAAACTTCAGGAAATGATACATTTGAAGAAAGGGCATTGGGGTATGCCTTCAAAATGATATTGGGACTCTGGCACCCCTCTGCCCTTTCTCTTTTTGCTTTTCTGGTGATCATAAGGTAAGAGCTTTATGCTGACATCTACTCCATGGCATAGTGTCAGAAACAGTAGAGCCATGAGTGATCAACTAAGGCCTCTGAAAATGTAACCAAGAATTAGTCTTTCTTCCCTCAACTTCTTTCTTTACTGACATTTTGCCACAGACACAGAAAGGCAATTACATGTTATGTGATAAATTTTATCTATTTTACCTAGACCCACATAAAGACTTAGTTGTTAAATAAATAAAGAAAAAGAAGGCTCACCCCTAATAAGTTTATACTGTACATAAGAAAAATTATACAGAAAGCACATTATGGGATAAGATGTCCATGAGCAGAGTGGAGTGGGGAGAATGTACTTAAAATGGTCTTGCCCATGACCACTATCAGATATGTCAGAGAAGGCTCCACTGCAAAAGGCCATCAAATGGAACCTGCCAATAAAGTTATTTCCTATATCATTTCCATATCTTGCAGCCCCCAAGCATCTGAAGGACCAGCATCAAGAGCCTTCTCTCAGAAACAAAATGAAACCCCTAGGAGAACTGAGGGTGTATATTCCCTATATAGTCCTGATTCACAATCACACTCCCAAAATGCACAAATGCACACCTTAGCTCGTCCACTTACTACTGATGTGACTAGACAGTTTTTTGTTTCTTCACCTTGCAAACATGTTTGGCTTCTCATCTCTACAATGGACAAAATTATACTTACTTCATAAGACTAGCTTCCAATTTAAATGAGATAATATTTAAAACATTTACCATAGTTACATATATATATATATATATATATATATATATATATATATATATACCCAAAATGTAGAGCTGACTATAACAGAGGCCCTTTCCTCTTCTTCCAAGTCAGGGGAATTGCAGTCACCTGAAAGATAATGGGATCCGGTGCAATGAAACAAACTTTTCAGCCAGTATGTATTACTATAAAGAAATACCAAGACTCATGGTTGAGCCACTGCAAATACCAAGAAAGTAAATATATTTTAGAAATGCAGCCATTATGATTCCATGGAAGTCTGTTTATTTCTATGTCAAAATGATGAATAGCATGAATGAAAGCTGCCCTGATCCTGTAAAGACATACGAATAAGAAAGATGGGGAGTTTCCCAGCCCAGTCACCTTCTCTTAAGTCTTCAGTCACCTGATTCTTTTCTGATGCTGTGGTCTCTGCTCTCCCCTTCCCTGGGCTGGGTTTCTGATGGATTTTTTTGTGCTTAGTAATGGAGAGGATGTTATGTTTTGCTTTTGAGGTATTTTTGCCACATTCTGTTTCCTAGGTCTCAAGAAACTTTTCCAAACAGTAAACTCATGTCCAGATTCATCACAAGCCACATTATCCTCATGAAATGGCAGAAGACACTAGTTTGGTCCAAGGTTCTCCAAACAAAGTTAGTGGATACAATGTAGAGAAGATATAAGTTAATTGTGAAACCTCAAATAAAGGATTTATTACAGAGAATGAAACTCTGTGATGAACAAAAAAGAAACCTGAAATGTGGAAGATTGGCACAGATAGGAGTGAGAGACTGAGAGAGGAGGGAGAGCGAGAGAGATGGGGGAGAAGATGAATCAACTCATTAAGCACAACTGAGTGAAGTCTGCTCCCAAAATGAATCTGGGACTTTTGGACAACCAATATCTGTGAGATTTCTTTCAGTGGAGGTCGAGCCCTGGGGATCAGGTTTCTATGCTAGTACCTCCGCCTGATCTGCTGGAACTTTAATCTCAGTGGAGCAGCCATATGAAAAAGGACAGCCTCATCTACTGGCCTTGGGGCTGAACATCACCTATGGTCATATCAGGAAGGCTCAGCATACTTCCCAGACAGGTATGAATCTACCACTTGCCAAGTTTCATGTTTTGTGTGTCTTCCAAATGCTCCGCAAACATAGAGAGCAGAACTAGCCAGGTCCTGTTTTCAAGGTGCTCAAGATTGAAGCAGATAGCAGAGGGTAACTGGGAACACAGAGTCTAGAGTAAAAGTATCTTCAAATCCCAGCCTTACAACTTAAGTGTGTGATCTCAGAATGTTTAATTTCTCTACATCTCAGTTTTATAGACAAAAGACAGGTAACAAATGATGGTAGCAGTTGCCTAGAGTTATACCAGGTAACAAATACTAACATGCCATATGTAAAGTAATAAGTCACATTGTGCACACAATAAAAGAATGAATGACCCTCTTAAGGTGATCCAACTCTTTTAGCTGTTTGAGAATGATATCTAGGTCCATTCCTACAGTTCATTTCAATAGTCAGATCCCCTACAATGCTTTATTAAGAAAAGAGACATGGAGATAGACAGACTCTCTCTCTCTCTCACACACACACATTAATGGAGGGAGTACTGTTACACCGTTAAAGAAGAAACTCCTTTCTGAAGGTTTCACTATTTATTCCAGTGCCCAGTTTCTGTAGTATAGAAGCACGCATGGAATCCACAGAAATAACACTTTATACATAAGCATGACACCCTACACTTGGGCTTGGGGGTGCTGTTGCTGTGAAGGTAAAAGTGGAGAGAGTCAACAAGTCTCTGTCTGGGACTGGTATCTACCTGCAATTTAGCTTTGGTTCACTGAAGTGGATAAATAGCTTAGCAAAAATGCCCAAGGTTTAGAAAAATAGGAGAGGCATCCAGAGGTCAGTCACCTCTTTCTTTTAGAAGGTGTAGACAAAGGAGCACAGGATTGTCTTACAAGAGATAAAAGTCCCTGCTCCAGATATTGAAAAGCTGAGGACATGGGACCTTCATTCTATTATGGAAGACCAATGTCTTCTAGAGAGTACCAAATACTTGCTTGCATCTCCTTTTATTTGCAGAGATCAATCATTTCCTTACTCCCTCCTACTACTTCCTCAGCCTGAAATCTCATTTTAAATTATGAAACCAAAACCACCAGTCCAGGTAAGTAGGGTTTCTGAAAAAAGCTATGGCACTGTCTCAACTTAAATACCAAGGGCATCATTATTAGAGCACTTTTGTGAAACATGGATCAACAGAAGTCAAATGAGATTGGAAGTCACGTGACCAGAGATTAGCCATGCCACCTCTATTGCTGCTAGATTGTGGATGACTCCTTTAGATACCTCTTTTCAGATTTCTAGGATAAATGAGTCATTCTTTAGGGGAGATGAAGATAAATACCCCAGATGATTTCTAGCTCTGTGGTTCTCTGATCAAGTGAGGCTGTGATGACCTCAACTAAGGCAGAAAGCAATAAGACATATTTGCAGAGAAGCTGCAGTCTCCAACACTGTTAAAGCTATTTCACATTCAGCGATCATTGGCTGGTAACTTAACTCTATGACAAATATGTGCTATTTGACAATTGAAGGCAATTACTCATAAAACTACACAATCACCAAAAGAAAAGAAAAGGGAGACTCACAATAAATCCATACGCTTTAAGAGTATTCACTTTTGTTAGGAAAAATGAATCAAAATTATTTTTCCATTGGCCTCTGTCATAAAATAATAACTTAATTATGGGAATAAATCTTAAGAGAAAAAATTTATGACAAGTTGAGTACTGGAACCACAAACTTCTGACATATTTAACTTTTAGCCACTGCAGAATCTTCTCTAATAAATTATTCCTTCTAGCTCTCCATAGAAAGGAATCCATATCTGGAAGTCCATGCATAGACTAGCTTATACTTGGGGGCTGACATAACTATTACACAGCCCACTCCCAGATATATGTTGAACTCCAAACACAGTGTCAACCTATGTAACACAGAGTGGTCCCAGTTTCATTAACACAACACATGTCAGTTTTAAAATTATGTAGAGAAGTTGTACCGAAAACATGAAAACCTTTAAAACCCAAGGGGAAAAGTCACATATCACCATTTCTTGAGTTATCACTCAGTGAGGCTTTTCACACTGCCATCAACTATAGACCATGCATTATTTTTAATGGGTTTGTTGAATCTTTATAGCTATCTGTCATCCAGGTATCAGCTCAGACCAGGGCAATCGGATCTGTGCGACAATGGGCGATTATGACATAGGCTCATATTTTAAATTTGATTCTTTGTTCTCAGCACTTCATTGGGAAAAGAGGAAATCTTAGTTCTTAGCCGAAAAATATATAGTTGTTGAATGATGGATGGAATGCTGCCATCTCTTGGTTATCTAGTACAGAAGAAAATAGTTTTTGAGAGCAAAGAAAAGTAGTTTTGCATCTTTATTGGCTGAAGGCAATACAGTTAAGAAGCACAATTCTGCTCTTCTGGTGTCAGAACAATCTGTAATTGCTGTTATTATTTTTAGCATTTAATGCTTACAGTGCATATTGAAGCTATTCCCTGACAATAATACCATATTAAAAAGAATCCATCACATGGTTTTCTGGCTTAGCTTTCACATAGAAACACCTAAATTAGATTAGCCCAGCATCTCAGTTTCTGAAATCTGTGCTGAATATTTTTTGATGAGTTCACATGCTCTATATGGACCACACATAGAGAACTGTATCACTGTTTTTCTTCTCCAAGCTGCCCATCAGGCAAAGAAATGGGTAAATGTCTGGCATTTTAGATTGGCTTTTGGTAGCATAAATGAAAACCTGAAGTTGAGAAACCTATTGCTCTGCTACTTAGTAGCCTCATAACTTTAACCTAAGCTGTCGCAAGTCCCCAGTTTTCTCATCTGCAATGGAAAGACAATAATCTTTATTTTACCTAATGCACACTGTTATCATGAGGGTCAAATATGATTTTCAGATGTGCAAATATTTTTCAAGAAGCAAAGTATTGTGCTTTGGTCAAGGGTTATCAAAGAAGAAATAGATTTTTTTCCTTCCAGACCCCAGAGAAACTTTGCTAATAAATCAAAACAAAACAAAACAAACCTCTACACTTAGCTTTGTTGATAAGTGGTTATTGTTTTCTTATGAGTTGAATATCTGCTGATACCAATAAAAGATTTATGAACAAATGAAGAGTGTTACATGGGTACATTAGCATTCATTAGCCATTTCTGGCAATATTGCCATGGCATTGCATCAACTAATGGTCTGTCAGTATAATTTTGACCATTGAATAACACATTTTGAAAGCCAAGAGGTGGACAGAATCATTCTGCCTCCTTAGCACTCTCTTATGCCTACAATATATTTTCATAGTAGTTGTTGCCCGATTCAGAGCCTCCAAGCTTCGAATTCTATTTGCTTTATGGATACTGTCTGAAACAGAGCTAAATCTTGTATACAAGGGATTATTTGTTCCATAAGTAATAATTTTGTGTGTAAAATAAGATGGATTGGCAATCAGTAACTACATTGTATAACTAAATTGTATTTTATTTTTCCAAAGAGTAAAGAGGAGTGAAAATAAAATAATGAAGTACAATCAACAAAATGGAAAAGAATACCCATTTTGAGAAGAAAAATTTTGAAAGAGAAAAGAAATTGAGATTATGAAATAGTATGCCATTTTTGTTTTTCCTAAAATCTGAAAACAGTGTGATTAAAAATATCTCAGCCATGCTTGTTTTGGAATAGTGAGAGTATTGAGGGGACAGGGTCGGAGGATATTCTAGATTACATATAAACTCAAATAATGGAGAGCCACTATCTTTATGGCCACTGGGAACCTGATCTACAGCAGAAGACATATAATGATAATAAGAACTGTACCAAGCTCACTGTAATCAGTGTTGCTGTGTGTATTACATGTCTTGCCAAGTACTGTTAGCTCGTCACTTAGAGAATCATGGTAATCTTCAAAGACTACAACCTAACATAAGACTATTCAGAGCATGGGGGTAGGGGTGCAAGTAGAAAGGATGAAGGAAATTGAATAAGGGTGGGGCTGATAAAGAGAACTTTTAGGAGGTAGATCACCATGATTCAGAGGTTGGAAGCTCTCCCCTGTCAAATGTGTTTCAGAGCTAGTTCTCAACATAGAATCAATCCCTGCAGAAGGGTCTTTAGTACCTTGTTAATCGTAAATAAAATGTAACAACAGCAACCATAACTTTCTAACAAGACCATTCTTGGGCATAATGGGCCATTCAAGGTGTAGACAAACTTCCTGCTAGGAGATTTATCTCAGAAAAGACAGGAAATGTGTGTGGGGCCAACATCAGGAGTCAGGCCAGAGGTTCATTCGTGTAGTAAAACAACTGCCTAAGTGACATGATAGCTTCCAACACTGCATGATAGATTCAAGCTAGGAATACAGTCCTTTTCAATTAGTTTCAAGAGCTGGGCATAGTGGCATGTGCCTTTAATCCCAGCAACTGGGAGGCAGAGGCAGGTGGTGGATCTTTGTAAGTTCAAGGACAGCTTGGCCTTCATAGAGAGTTTCACGACAGAGAGAGAGAGAGAGAGAGAGAGAGAGAGAGAGAGAGAGAGAGAGAGAGAGGATGTTGAAAAACCAGAAAGAAAAAAAAATCATAGTTTCAGATAATTGTATTATTGTATTGTATTTAGGGGGAAAGGTACCCTGAAAGGGATCTAGAGAATGCAGAACTCTTTGAAGTAATAAACAAAGTAAATTTACAGCCACCCTAGATCCACATTTATGAGTCAGAGTGACTATTGGGCCAGCATTCCTCTACCAGCTTTATTAAGTCAAATTTTTACTTGATGCCACCTGCAAATATTTAGGAAGAGAGGTCTCCTTACATATAATCACTAAATGCAATCCCTCATCAAGGGAAGTTTGTCTTATATTTAGATAAAATGATTATAAGTGTTTGCTTTGGAGATTGTAACATCCTCTGTACCTGCTTTCCTGCCTAGTGCATAATTAACCTGCCAACCCACCCTGCAGTAATAAGTGTGACAGACAAGAAATATATTAGGAAGGAACTTTTGTGTGATGTTCTTTCAAGCCCTTCTTTATCCTTCAACTATCTTTGCTTTTAATTAGCACTTGGGTAACAGCATACCTTAATGAATTACCATATTACTGTTATCAATAAAAATTATTTTGGGTCCAAAGTAGTCATTAAGATGAAATGTGTAAGATCTGTTCTGAGGGGTTTGTGGGGAGAGAGCAGTGGGAAGCCAGGTCCTGTTTTCTATTTTAATCTTAAAAGATTTGAATACTTGTGTTTACCAAACATAAACACTGGGATCCATGGGAAATTAAGGAAAGAGAATAAATATATACATGTGAAGAGAATAAAGCCATGAAGTGCTGAAGGAGGTATTTTTGTGAAAAAAAAATGAAGTATTTAGGGAAACATGCTTCCCTTTTGTACATCTCCAGAAACCTAAGTAAATAAGGAAGAAGGCCAATTGAGTCACTTAAAAAGGAATGAGGATTTCTAAAAAAAGAAAAGATGATATGTTCTAAACGCTACAGTTGAAGTATGGAAGGGGTGAATCTAAGGTATTTGAACAGTTGGGAGATAGTGGAGAAAAGAGGAGAAAAACTGCATTATAGCCTCCAAGTGACCTGTAAGTTTATGAATTTGCCATAGCAGGTGTTTAAAGAAGATAGGTGTGGAGTTTAAACTAGAAAGAAGAGAAAGAGGGAATGTTTGTTTAGGAAACTACATCTTAGCATCTCTTCTCTTGAATAAGCTAGGGAACTTCTAGCCATGTTACTGTTATTTGGTGGTAGGTGGAGGTGTCCTCAGTGGGTAGAGTAGAAACTGCAGAAAGGTGAGTGCGAGCATGTCATACTCCTCTCCCACCAGCCTCCAGGGCAGCCAGAATTCTATCATCTAGGAATAAAAGTTGCAGTCAAAGAGAAAAGGCTTAAACTTCCCTCCCCATTAAAGGCCTTACCAGTTCCACCTATAATAAAGCCTTCCAGCTTACACAGCACATCCTATTAATGTTTTAATATCATCTCTTTAAATGATAAGGCACTAAAAAATAATAACCTGTAGAGGATGCTATGCAAATGACAAAGAACAAAACACAAAACTTAAAGCATATTTTA